TATATTATGAAAATCACCTGAAGTTTAAACAAGACACAGTGCAAATTACAGTGCATCTTACTAATGGAGCTTCAGTGATGTCTCTATATCACTACTGGTGAGGCATTAGCTGTGCTTCTGAACTGAGGTGAGATGCCACGCAGCAAAGAGAGGATGAGGTTAATTTTAAATGCTCTGGACTTCTATCTGTCTTCACCTCCAGCTGCTTTTCCCTATCCTATGAAAAGACATGAAAAATCAGAATTCTCCGATTTATTTATGCGTTTTCTGGGTCTGATTTAAATATTTTATCTATTTAAGTGTTTTCTGAATTATATACTACTTTTAGAGTAAGCTGTAAGGCTGCAGAAAATGCTGAGCCAGATAGCAGAGTATCCTTGATTCTGATAAGGCAATTAAAAGCAGTATGGAGCCAATCCTGTCCAAAATGAATTTGAGCTGAAAGTAGACATTGCTTTGATCTTAATGTGGAGAGGATCTTCCTACAGGATACCTTTTGGACAGCAAACTTCTGCAACTGTCAAAGTCTAGGAAGAATGATGCAAAATAATCATACTCCCTCATTTGTTTGACAGACTGATAATGTGTTCCCCATCTTCCAGTAGTCATCTCTTGGACCTGAACTACTCCCTCTGTTGCCCCAAGATCCATTTTTATTTGTTGCTGTCTTCTCCAGTCTAAGCAGTTTCTAACTCCATGTTAGATGGACACCACCAGGCAGCTCCCAGAGAAGTGCAGAGAATCTCTCAGTTCTTGATTTCTTTTGCCCGCACCACACTAGTAAGGAGCAATAGCCGTTGAAAATGCCTTCAACAGACCCTGGATTCACGACTGGAACAAAGACAATAAAAAGCAAATTCAGTAGCTCAGCTCTCACAAGTCTCTACTTACAACGTATAAACTAAGGATTTCCAGAGCTTACAATGTGGCCAAATTTGGACTGCATTACGGCAGAGGAACATGCATAACCCTCATTTATAGTGGGAATAGTTAGTCTTTAGAATATTATTTTAGGGATACTATTAACATATACAAAGAACAATGCCAGTTTCTCACCCTCATAAATTACTGGATCTTATCAGAAATCACTGAGAGGAAGTTCCTGTAAAGAAATCAATTAAGCCTAAAGCAGCATGGAAAATTTCCACTTGAATGGTTACGATTTGGCCAAGCTACAAGCAACTGGAACCAGACCTTAACACAGAAAGCATTTAACCCTAAACAGAGACACTGCTAACAGGTCCGCCCATAAACAACAAAGACGTACGTATCTTCCACGTGTAATGCAGTTAGGAAGTGTTTCTCTTCAAGTATACTTTAAAAACAGCACGCACGCTATTACCCAGCTGTGACCTCAACGTACTGCCCCGAAACCCTAGGGGAAATCAGGGAAACAGTGGCAACAACACGACGAAGATTGCTTTCCGTGCGAAGGACACCGGAAGTTCGCAGAGCGCTCTCCTGCCGCAGGGCCACGGGCAGTTTTATCAGGACCTTGGACAGCCCCCCCCCGGCTGCCGCTGCCACCTGCGGATACCGAAGCGGTGCACATGGCATAAGGAAGCCTTAGGGATTGTGAAAAGGAAGGGAAAGGCAAGGGAAAACACGTTCTGCTGCATTACTTCATAAATTTCGCCCCCCGCCCCCCCTCCAATATAGTCTACTTACAGTACTGTAAGAAGACAGCAAATTCTAAGTCAACATAAGGCAATGACATAGATAAGGCTAGGTACAAACAAAGATTTGAAGTAAGTTTGGGTATAGCCCCCCATTTTATTGCTTCTTCATTTGCAAATAAAGGGGAGGTTTTCGGAGTCTCGCTCTTCAAACACACCAACCTCAAATTATAAAATCAACTGCTATACAAAGACTGCGACAATGGCATTAACGGCCTGCCTGGGGTTTTATTTTTTTGTTGGTTGCATTTAAAAATGTATTTTACAAGCGCTTTAGGCAAAACAAACCTAAATTATTAGAAGCAGTAAAAATTCAGAGCTTTACAAACATTTAAGCTCATTTCTCATAATTTGCAATGAAGCTCTTAAAAAATCTATCCACTTATGATGAAAAACCAACTCCCTATTCCCTTTTAATAAAAAATAGACCTTAAAAAAAAAAAAAAAGATCTGATCACTATTGTTTGAAAGCACTCAAAAGCAATAAGATGGTCACAAGACTCGATCTGACTGTTCTGCCCCTTTACAAACTCAATAAAGCTTGCTTTTTATGACTGATTGCTGTGCTGTATTAATCCCCTAGCATATAAAACAAGCCTATTGGAGACTGGGACTCCACTGGGGGAGGACAGGGAAGCTGTTGTGTTCTGAGAATTAATCCATCTAGGAAAATCAAAAGCCAGCCACTCACAATACAGTAATCAGCATGTTCTCCACTGTGAAAGCCCTACATTTCCCATTTAGAAAACACAACTATTACTCCATTATGTACTGAAACACACAGACCCCTTTTATTTATTTGTGGTTGTTATTATTTGGCTTATATTTATGGGTTTGTGCGTATTCCATTGGTGGGTAATACAACCATCAAGTTAAAAAAAAAACACAACGGTCTATTCCCAACTGCTTAAAAGGAAAAAGGGACTCCCACTGCTTTTTCCACAACCAAAGTTCTTTCTGGATTTGCTTTGTGAACAGGATTTTAACTCTTTATTACCCTAAATAAAAGGAAATTCTTTGCATTTTTTCCTTTCACAGAAAGTTCATTTTCTCTTCAGGATAATTATGTTATTTTTTTCTCACTTTGTTGAATTACCTAACACGAGCTTCCTAAGTACTGGTGCTAAAATAAAAAAGTTTGAAATGTTATAGTTACTCAATTGAAAACAACTTCATTTTATTTCTAGGTGCTATTATATTTGATGCTGTTTTGTTAGCAAAAATTTAATTCTTTGCTTTTAAAGTTGAATGATGTAGCCTTCCAAATAAAACTTCTTTTTCTTTTTTAAAAGTAGAATCCTTTTTTTGCCATTTAGGTGCTCAAAGTATGAATTTCCCATTGTGTTATGGAGATAAAGATTAAAAAACCCAAACAAAACCAGCTGCAAATCTTATGTGACACAGTAATTAAACTGCTGACTTAATTCTGTCCTAAACATAAGAATTAAGGCTTATGGAAATCACTGAGAAACCGCAACCTGATAGATCATGTACTCAAGAACCAAAAACATATATCCTTTTCAGCTAGCAGAAGTCACCTACCTGTATAAGAAATTACTATAAACCAGCACCTAAACACAACAGTTTTTAATATCTGCTGAAATGTTCCCGTCAAATTAATTTAAAAAAGCAAATTGCTTATATTCATATTTATTCTTTGCTAAAATGAAGAACAATTTTCTCCACCATTTGTTTTTAAAATAAGAAGTCACTAAAACCAACAAAAGTTATAGCTTTTGTTCCTATTGCCATTATCCTTTCATATACATCCTTTACTTAATAAATGGCTAAAGACAGCATTTTTATATCATTGCCTTGAAAACTAACAGGTGACTAAAATCCCACTAGGTCAATTCCATAGTCCCACCTGGTCAGCAGTGTACATACTAAAATATTATGGTTAACTAAAAGATCTTAGCAGTCCAGCTATACTCACCATCAGTTTTAAGTATTACTATATATTTCTCATAGTTCAAAGTACGATGTGGGTTTTTTTCCATTTTTAAATCAAAAAATAAATTGCAGGAGGAAAAGATGCACATGGCTGTATGTCTGTTACATGTACATGCAGTTTTAGGACATAAACTTGCCTTTCCATTTAAGAATGGGATTAAACGATGACAACATGAACACTTTAACTTTTCTGGGACCTTCCTGTTAGACACAACTGAATATAACCAAACAACAGCCACGATACACAAACACGAGTCATACTAAATTGTCGTTCTTGTTTGTAATTCTTGTAATGAGTATGCATACAGGATTACATTTCTTGGCTATCAGGGCAAAGCTATGGCACACACAGAGTTAACCATGCCCCCCCTCCCCCCTTTCTTTACCCCCCTTCTCCCCCCATCTCATTCATGCCACATTCCACAGTGGCAGGGTCCAACAACAATATAGGAGGGTACCCAAAATGAAGAGGCAGGGCCTTCCATTCTTCTGCCTCTCTTGAATTAATTAACTGGAAATGAGTTTTGTCAATGTTTTGGAAAGGCAGAGGGGTGAAAAGAAACTGCTAGAATTAATCACAGTGAGAAACTACCTCTTCAGCAGTCTGCCAGAGTTCAGAAAACCCATGAGAAGTGCAAAATAAAAGAAAAGTGGGCTGACTTACCATCCAAAGGAACAAATAAAATTCAAACAAACACTCAAGTCTCCAAAACAGAGACATGCCCCAGTGCAAAGGAATGTAGCATCTGTTGCCACAACAGCTTCAGCTTTGTTTTTAATATACTTGTCATGAAGACTGAAAGGTAGCAAGGTAGAAGAGACAATTTACTAACAATTTAAATACACAGAAGGCATGTTGTGTTTAATTCACTAAATATTTATGTACATCCAATGTGTTCCACTGATCCTTTTATAAGTAGAGATATTTAAGCACCACGATTGAAAACGAGTAACATTCATTGTTTAGCCCTGACTCAGCACAGATCTTTTAAACAGAGAAGGCAGACTGCAAAGTGGTTATTTCTTTGCTGAGTTTTTAATGATAGTTATCTTCAGGTTCAGCAATGGAAATTGTAACAACTGCATGCATGACATCTTTCTACTAACAAAACAAGAAAGTAATGACATTTCAACCATCTGAAAAGGATCTTTTTCCATAGGTTAATTTACCTATGCATTTTGAAAATGTGTAGGTGTCCTTTTGTTTACAACAGTGAAGGAGAATTATCATTTGGCAGTTTTTCTGAGAATAAACGTAACACTTCCAGCAGGCTGGAACTAAAACTGAAGAAATCTTGATTGCCTGAGCAGGGAAAAATATCTTAAAAGAGAAATCCTCTTTCAATGATTTGACTGTTCTTACTTTTTTGTTCATGAGGGCTTTTTCCTGACAGATCTCATAATTAACTTGTCATCTCGTTTCTCTATCTCTAAACCCATACTCTCAAGGGCAGAATTATCTGCCAGCCCCTTCTCCTCCATCTGCGCAATAAGCTCTTGGTTTCTCTCATTCTGTTCAGTAAGATTTCGGATAGCATATACTGCCCACTGGTTCACAACTGTTGGACAAAGTTAAGGATCATTTATTTATTTAAAGATGAAACAATGCTTATTTTGATTTATTACTGCATTCCCCCCCCCCCGCCAATCCCTCAAACTTAGAAAAACAGTAGAAATCAAGGGTTTGAAAAAGTAAGACATTTACAGGCAATAACTCTGAACCTGCAAATACTTGCATGTGAGGTAATTTAAGTTTAAATGAGGTATGTCCATTAACTTCAGGCAAGTTTACTAGGTTTTATCTTGAATTTAAAAAAACCCCACCAAAACACAAATGAACTGCAGGAATTAAAAGGACATACCGTTTTAAACCAAAATTACAGTTAATTGAAATGTTCCAATGATCTTCCTAGTAAGATTTTATTAAAAAAAAAAACCAACCAAAAAAACAAGGCAGTCACTGTGTTTGCGACTCTAACATTTCAGCACTACACTTTCAAGGGCTGGCAAACAAAATAAGATGCAAATCAGGTACAAGACAGACAATGACTATTATTTTTACTACAAAAGGTGAAGAAATGTAGAAAAAGAGATACACATCCAGGGTAACAACTGAAAATAGAACAAATCATGTGGGAGACACTTAAATATATTTAACTTCTAATGCTACCTACACTCGGTTCTTTCTGCCTGGGTGCTTTTACAAACTTGCCAGCAGAACAGACACCAAGATCACCAGCAGGTAGCTCCTGCTCCTGTTTAAATGGGCACAAGCTGCAACTCATTCACCTTCTAAGGTGGTCCCTTGAGGCCAGGATTGAGGCACACGTCAGGGCCACAGACAAAGGATTTAAATTCCCAGGATTATCAGTCAGGCATCTTCCAAGTGAACTATAGTGTTCATTTTATGTAGTGTCAGAGATGTTAGTCCCAATTCTGCAGCTGAAAAGCTATGTTATGATATAATCTTTCCCAAGTTACCCATATGAGAGGCAAGCCATTCTGAATCACACAAAAGTGGTTTGCCTGCAGGGCACCAATTATTTACTACATGTAGCTTCACATCCAGTAGAAGAATATGCATAATTTACTCATCTCCTTGACGTCTTTTGGGTTGGACAGTGTCTAAGCACAGAGATAAGATAGTGTTCTTATGGGCATTTGCCAGAGGGTGACTGGAGGGAAAACTCCTCAGTTGTGGAAGATGGGAACTTCAGCCAAAAGAATAAAATACAGGAGCTGGACTTTCTTACACAATCTATCATGACAGCATTTGGAATATCCAGTACCACTGCATGCATATTCTTACAGTAGCAGTCTTGCCATTTTTTGTGCACTTTCCACTGATTGTTGCGCCTACCTTGCTGCCACCTCCAGCTGCCCCTTAGGCTTATCCACTTTCAGCAGAGGAGGTCTCATGCTGGATTGTTGGACGCACCAGGCAATGTGGATGAACAACAGAATGTAGCAGGAACAGCTTTCTTAACATAAGACACGGTCCTGCATTTGCAAGCTTACATTTTAAGAGAGAGGAAGTGATAAACTGAGAATACAGGAGACCAAAAAAAAAAGTTTACGACTATACCTAACCACAGCGCTACTTTGATGCCAAAAGAGAATAGAGAAGGGACTAAAATAAAAAGCAGACAAGGAATTGCCAACACAGAGAGAAGGGTTTAAATGAAGAGTAGTTTGAACAAACATCACAGGAAACACACATGCTAGGGAACAATCCTGCACTGGCATGCATCCGTGAAACAGCCCCCTGCCTTTTAATAGCAGTTTATATTTATTTTCATGCTCAAGCAGCCCAAACCCCTGAAATCAAAAATGGCAAAGCAGTAACAACCATAGGGCTTTTTTTTTCTGACAGAGTTCTTCAGACTTTGTCAGGAAACATGCTGCATAGCTCCTTCATTAAAAAAAATTCTGGCCAAAGGCTGGATCTAGGTGGGGTAGTAAGAGAGGAGAGAAATCAAGAAAAAAGGATAATTATGTATCCCATCAAAGCCTTGATAGGCGAACATGACTGAGAATATCAATGTATTCTCTTTTGTCAGTGCATCTCTACCATGATTAAGCGAAAAAACAAGTGCCAAACTACATGTAAGTTACATAAACCAACTATTTGCAGTGAAGATTACATTTGAGCGTATAAAACAACAATAAGATACCAAAGAAATCAAATTGCATATAAGCAGAACCTCCCTCATCAGCTCCAATAGTAAGAATAAATTTCAGAACAGTAAAGCTGATGCAAGCTGATGAACACACATGGACAAACAGATGAACAAAGGCTGATACCTAGCAGGTCTTTCTGAGGTCTGATTTAAGGCATTTCACGAGTGCCAAAAAGTAACGTGAATTTCTCCCAATGGACTGTGAGAAACATGCTACCACCCTCCCTGGCTCTGCTCCTGGGAAGAGAAGCAGACTTGCTGTGCTCCTAAAATACAACTCTGCTTAAAACACAGCACTTGCATAAAAGTATACCTCCTAAAAAGAAAAACGTTATTTTCAAAGAGTGACAGTTCTCAATCACACAAAGTGCCACACAGAGAAAAAGTACTCTCAAATTTATTTTTTTTTTTTAATGTATTAGCCTTGGGAATAATCCTGTTACCATCATCTTTATGTCCTTCAACACAAAAACACTGCTAAACCTCAGAGCAAATGATGTTTTCCTATTATCATATCCATTCATGCTTACATAATATCTAAGACATCCCCATTATCTTATGAACTCTATCGTCATTATGGCATTTATCATTATTGACTACTGTAGCTGAAGCTGCAAAATGGTTTCAATAACGTTTTCACTCACTCAAAAACTCTTTTCTGTATGTAGGTTTTCCATTGTAAATTCAGTCATGAATATGCATGATTTCCCTTGTTCGCATGCTGTGTGAGGCTAAGACCTTTGGATGGCTGTGTGCAGACCTAGACAGACTTAAGTGTCAGCAGAGATTAAAGCTAGTCCCCAGCTAATATTCACATTACCCTCTTGCTCCTCTCCAAAGACAGAGACACAGAGAGAAAATTAAACATATTCTAGAGTCTCTAATCCCACCAACACTTTAAGCACTTTATTGTATGCTCAGCTTTAGAAAGAGAGCTTCTAAAGTTTCCATAGTTACTACAAATAAGAGCATGAGCCTGTTTGTTGTGAAACTGCATAAAAGAAAAGAAATGCAGCAAGCACAGCAGATCAGATTGCACAGACTTGTCTAGATTTTTCCAAGAGGACATATCACACTCTCAAATGAATTAATATTACAGACAAGGAAGTAAAGGTTACAATATCTCCGTCACAGTGCAGAGGGCATACAAAAGAAAAAAAAATTCATTTCATTTTGCAGGAGCTTCTTTACTAGACTACCTGCGTTTAGGGAGTGAAAGCAAACATTTGTATGCATTTATAGCAACTCTTTTTCAAAATTCTTCAGTACCGTATGCTATGGGATTCCTATGTAATTTTGACTTATACACACAATAACAAAACTGAATCAACTTGCCCTGTGTTCCATACTTTTGTAACATCTTCATACAGCAACCTAAAATTTATCACCTAAACTCATCTGGGTCGTAACTTCAATTGTCAGGGAGGGAGACATACAGGGAGAAAGGAAGAGAAGTGGAGAAAACGTGCTGGCAATCTGCCCTAGAGGATGAAAAATCTGACTATATGGAATCAACATACACCATGAAAATCTACGCCACTAAATCCTGTAGAAGTTTTGCCGTTGACTGCAAAGGGAGCTTTTCTCAATTCTCTTGTTTCTTTTCATATGGATTCTGCTACAAGAGGTTGCTAGAGTCAATGCTAGCAATAGCACAGTGACTGTTTTGTAAGTTTAATGGTGTGTGAAAATATAACCGCATACTGTCAGGAGTCACTAACCAATATCCTATTGCAAGGCATTACTGGAGAGGAGGACTTACAAACCATTTCCCAAAGAGACTATTCCAGCTTTTCATTCTCCTATTAGGAGGCCCGATTTGGACTAAATGTTATTGGCAAGCCTATTGCAGCCATCAGGACCCCCATGAATTGCGCTGTAGAACAATTTGGATTCTATGGATGAAAGATGCTAGACATAATTGTTAATGACTTTTGAATCTGACGAGGTAGATATACAGCAATGCATAAGTAATCTTGGAAGTATGTTGCTTGCAAAGGGCAAATAGCAAGTTTTAAAAGTTAAGTATTATCATTAATTAATATAGGATACTGAAGAGTGGTGACAAGGAGAATGAAATTCATACATCTGGTTTTTTTAAGTCTTCTTGATTAGTTATTAATACTTAGGAAACTTTCTTCCTTAAGAGTCATTTTGCCTAATGAGCAAAAGAGGATATTCTTTGCCCAATTCCACTACCTCATTTAAATCAGATTTTTGACTATTTAAATATTAACTACATTTTAATCAAATACAGGAAGAGATACAAAACCTTACCAAGAAAGACAACTCACGTGGGTTGGAACCCTAGTCAAACAGGCTGTTTATGCAACAGCTAAAGCCACCCAACTTCTCCAGAAGCTTTTTTTTGAACAAGTCTAGAAACCAGAGATAATGAAAATACAATTCTTGTAAATTATATTTCTTTCTGGTCTTCAACAAGTAATCCAATTATCACTAAAACTTCTGTAGACAGGAATGAAATACTAAAGTGTCACGTTAGAAGAATCACTTCCACTTACAGACCTGACTGGACCACACTGAAAAGACATAAACCATTTCCCTTTCAAGTCTTTCAGTACTTTTAAGTACTTTTGTTTCACAGCAACATGAAGATAATTTTTCTCACCCTTAAAAGAGGTCTCTAGACAGCTACTGCAATTGTTAATCACAGTTTGGAAAAATGGGCTGTGATTGACCACATGTAGTAGACAGTCAGGACTTTGGTCCCTCACAGTGAGCCAAATTGCTTACAAAGCTCTGTAAGTTTCTTCCTGTTGGGCGTTTTAGTAGTTTTATGAAGTCCTAGAAGCTGTATAAGATGACGGCAATTCCTTACAACTCCTTTATCCTTTTTACATAACTTTTACTTGTGCTTA